GGGGACCCTGGTGACAAAGGAGAGCTGGTGGGTGGCCCTGCCAGGGCCGGTGTCACCTTGTCCCAGTGTCCCTTTTTCCCAGGGACAATGTCCCCTTTTCCCTGCACGGAAAGGGGACATTCCCCMTGTCCAGCTCTGTCCGTGGTGGCAGCAGGACACTGACCCTTGTCTCTGTCCCTGTTCCCTTGTCCCCTCCCTCTTCAGGGTGGCCGCGGTGTCAGGGGACCCCAAGGTGACATCGGCGCCAAGGGGGACAACGTGAGTAGAGCGGGTGGCACCCGCCGTGCCCGGGAAGGGTCCCCTTGTCCCTGTGCCACCCCCTGTGCCACCCCCTGTGCCACCTCCTGTGCCACCCATCAATGTCCCTTCCCATCCCCGCCTTCTTTTGTCCCCTCCATGTGGCTCCGAGGTGTCACATGATGTCACATGCGTGTCCCACGCTGTCCCATGGGTGGCTTTTCCCTCTCTTCAGGGTGTCACATGGGTGTCACAGGGTGTCCCAGGGTGTCACATGGGTGTCACACAGTGTCACACGGTGTCCCATAGTGTCCCACAGGTGTCATATGGTGTCACCGGGGTGTCCCACGGGTGTCTGAGGGTGTCGCACGGGTGGCTTTTCCCTCTCAGGGTGTCCCACAGGTATCACACAGTGTCACACGCTGTCACACGGTGTCCCACAGGTGTCACATGAGTGTCCCACAGGTGTCCCACGGGTGTCACGGGTGGGTTTTCCCTCTCTCAGGGTGTCACATTCTGTCACACACAGGGGTGTCACACGGTGTCCAAGGGTGTCCCACGGTATCACAGGGTGTCACATGCTGTCACATGGGTGTCACACGGTGTCACACGGTGTCCCAGAGTGTCACCCAGGTGTCCCACGGTGTCTTTTCCCTCCCCCAGGGTCTCCCGGGCATCGACGGCAAGGATGGAACCCCGGGGATCCCGGGGCTCAAGGTGAGCGAGGGCGGGGGTGGCACCGGGGTGGCACCGTGTCACTGTGTCACTGTGTCACTGTGTCACCGTGCCAAGGGAATGACGTCATCAGAGCATGGCATCTCCCGAGGGGCGGGGCGTGGCTGTCCCCAGGGGTCACGGGCGGTGTCCCCCCTTCAGTGACATCCCCGGTGACATCCCCACTACCACTCCCGGTGTCACTTCCGTGACATCCCGGTTGTCACTCCCTGGTGCCACTCTCGGTGCCATTCCCCAGTGACATTCACAGTGACATTCCCGTTGTCACTCCCAGTGCCACCCCCATGACGTCCCCTCTGTCCCTCGCAGGGTGGCACAGGACAGCCCGGACGCCCGGGGACGCCGGGACACCGGGGACAAGCCGTGAGTGACAGGGACCCGCGGGCTGTCCCCTGCGGGTGACACCGCACCGGGGGTGGCAGGGTGGCAGTGCCACCCCCCCGCGGTGACATCCCCGCTTTGTCCCCTCAGGGATTGCCGGGCCAGCCGGGCAGCAAAGGTGGCCCTGGTGACAAGGTGGGTGTGGCCTCTGTCCCCTCCTGTCCCCTCCTGTCCCCTCCCTGTCCCCACTGTCCCCAACCCCTCTCTCTGTGTCCCCAGGGTGAGCCGGGTCCTCGGGGCCACCCCGGTGCCAGCGGCGCCCCAGGACAGCTCGTAAGTCCCCAGTGTCCCCAATGTCACCAAATGTTCCCAATGTCCCCAATGTCCCCAAATGCCCTCAATGCCCTCAATGCCCCCAATGTCCCCAATGTCCCCAATGTCCCCACTGTCCCCAGTGTCCCCAGGGAATAACCCGATGTCCCCAA